AAGGGCACCGGCTTTGGAGCCAGAGGATCCAAGTGACCTTAGGCTAGGGACTTTCCCCTCTCTGGGCCTCCCTGTCTTTGCTTCTCCCCCCACCGTGTAACTGTGAGTGCCTCCTAAGGTTCTATTCTTGCCCTTTTCCAGTTCATGTTTTTCCATGACTTCAGCTATTACCTATGTGAAGACATCGTTCAGCTTTCTCCATCCCCAGCTTTTGCCCCTCGCTTGTGGGCTTTTCTCCTATGTTCTGATGGTGTACGGGACACTTTCCCTTGGAAACGCTGCTCTTAGTTCAAGGCTTACAGTGTCCGAATCAAAGCTCATCATTTTCCTCCTCAAACTGCCTTCCCTTAGGTACACCAATGTTACTGCCATTCTTTTAGTCTTTCTGACTTGAAGCTTGGCCTTATCTGTGACTCTTTTCCCCTCCTTCATCTTCCAAATCCAAGCTGCCACCAAATCCTACCATTTCTTCCTTCCAGGTAACTTGGGGTCAAATTTACCTACATTCAAATTCTGCTTTGGCCACTTACTCCTTGGACGATCTTGGCAAGTCACTTTGCCTCTCCAGGGATCTGTTTCCTCCTCTGTAAAATGATGGGGTTGGACTAAATGATGTCTAAGGTCCCTTAGAGCTCCGAGTCTATGACCCTGTGATTCCGTGTCGATCCCTGTGTGCCTAGAATAGTACAACAGCTGACTTTCCTTCGACTAGTCTTTTCTGTCTTCTAACCCACCAAATTTTCCTTTTCTTAGGCTAAATTTAAAATCACAGAGCCTCAAAATACTAATGGCTAGAGGAGGAAGCCCTGAAATTTCCTGAAGGTCTGGGCATAGTCAGCCTGGTTATCTGTGTGTTCGAAAGTACGACAAAACCACATATATGCATGTAGGATTTTTTTCTTAGACAGAACCTATGGTTCCATTGATGGAGGGAACTCCCTATAGCCCTGCAGATCAGAATCTGCTCTGTTACAGCTGCCTGAGGCACTAAAGAATGAAGCAATTGTACCCAGAGTGTCAAAGCCAGGATGCGTCAGAGGTTAAGATTTGAACTCAGGTCTTCTTGGCTTTGAGGCCAGCTCTCGACCCACTAAGCTGTGTTGCTTTTCATGGAACTGTTCATAGAATGCTTTAGGACTTCATGAGAGGCAGCATAGTGTAACAGATTGTATACTGAGCTTGAAGGCAGGAAGACCTGGATTCAAATCCTCCCTCTGACACTAGCTGTGTCATCATTGGCAAGTCATCTAGCGTCTCAAACCTCAGTTTCCCCCTCTGTAAAATAATGGAGTGGGCTGGATTCAGTGGCCTCTAAGATCCCATCCAGCTCTAAATCTCTAAACCTACAATTTGGTTTTTACCAGTTTCTTCTCAGTCCCTTATGCAGAGTTTCTTAAACTTTTCCCACTTCTAACCCCTTTTTGAGTTTCAGCAGTGTTTGTTAGCATTGTGTGACCTGAAGGCATGCACAGTGCAAAGTGTGCATACTTTGTGTTCAGAACCAAGGCTGCAGTTAAGTTAGGGGATGCAACATGGGCAAGCACTGCCAGAAACACCTTGGAATCATTAGGCATTTGATTTTGAATTAATTTTTGGTCCTTGCACGTTTAGAAACCTTTTATTGTTGCCAAATGTTTCGCAGCCCACGGTTTAAGAAGCACTGCCTATGGGATGGGGTTAGCTTGTTTTCTGGTCACTTTCCTTCCAGATATAAGAAAACCATGGCAGGGAGAAGACCCCAGACTTCTTCTCAAGGTAACACTGCAGGCAGGGTGACAATTCTGTGGCTTGGAGGACCGTGAAAGAAGGAGGGCTTCTCTGATGGATAGCTGTTTGTTTTCTGATATCAAACATTCCTTCTTAGATTTTGCTTGAGGTTACAGAATTTACATTTTTGCCTCTGACTACAGGTCAGTGGTAAAGTTGAGAGGAGAACTCAGGGTGCCACTGTCCTAGTCTATTGCTTAACCATCACTTTTAGACATCCATGCCTCACTTAGTAAGTGAAAAGTTAGAGGAAAAAATAGTAGAAAATAAAATCTTGTCTTAGAACAGACAAATTGTAGTTTGAATATGCTGCCTCTAAAACACAGCTCTTCTTTTCCCAGTGTTATCTACTGATCTAAGATCATAGGATCCTAGTTCTAGATCCAAAAGGGACCTTAGAGGCCATCAACTCCAACCTCCTCGTTCTATAGAGGGGGAAACTGAGGCATAGGGCAGGGAAGTGACTTTGTAAAGAGAAGAGCTGAGATTGAAACCCTATTTCTGTTACTTCACATTCAATATTCTTTCCACTATACCTATATTGGAGATAAATAGGGTAAACTTCAAAGGAAAGACCCCAGAGAAAGATACACAGGAAAACACTTTATTTACAAGTTCTAAAGGGAAGGTGAAATTCAATCCAAAACTTGAATCTTTGAGACTTCTGCTAAAGAGGAATGCTGGAAGTATCAGAACATTTTTTTTTAATTTTAGGGGAGGAAGAATGTTTCTAAAGTAATGTGGATATGGCTCAAATGAATTCTAAATAAATAGGTGCAGACTTGAAACCATATTGATTATTTTCCCTAATAGCCGACTTTTGAATGATCACAGCTACCTCCGACCAAGTCCAAATAAGGGCCTTGCTTTATTCATTTCACTGCATGGGACTCCAAAAAGGACTTTAGAGAATATAAACTAGGTTTGTCATCAAAGAATCGCAGAGAAATTCTAAAGAGAATCTTAAGTGGTCCCTTCACATGCAGAAAACGTAGTCTCTCACTAATTCTGTGCCTTCAGTTGCCCAAATAAGGACCTTGAAGGAAACAAAGAATGGTCCTTCAGGCAGTGATATCAATAGGCATCAACTAATGTGACTGATGGTTTTGACAGTTGGCCACAGACTGATCCTACCAAGTTAATAATGTTTCCCATAAATCTCCCAATGATATCTACAGAAGAATTCTGCTAAGGTGATAAATGGTTCAAGCAGATACAGAAAAACTCCTTTTCTTGGCTATGCTTTTCATCACATAAATCTCACCATGAGTTATTATAAAAGTAACACATTTTATATCAAGATCACCCCAAGAGTGATCTACTTTTACTTCTAATTTCTTAATAAAAAAAACAACTTTTATCTAACTTGGACAATTAAAAGGAGACCTAGGCCATGAAATAATTGATTATTGATGAGATTGTCTCTTGGTGACATTTATTTTGAAAATAATTTTGGTAAAAAAGAGAGCTGCCTTCTCAGATGAATGGGAGCTGCATCCAGCCAAGGAGAGGTAGAGTTGTTGAGTTTCAAAGCTCAGGTGATACCTTGTATGTGAAGCCTTTTTTGATATTGTCCCATCCCTACCCCTGCCAAAATTACTTGGTATGTATCATTTCTGTATATAGTCATTTACATGTATACACATGGTCTTTCCCAACAGAATACTAACTCCTTGAGGGCAAGGACTAATTTCAGTTTTATTCTTGTATCCCTAGTACTTGGATAGTGCCTAACATATAGTAGGCACTTAATAAATGTTTTTTGGTTGACCATGAGCCATTCATTCGCTTTGTCCCAATGTGTCCCAGCAGAATCCAACCATGGAGCTCTTGTATGAGCCATATGTTTGTCTGCATGTAATCAGTGGGAATGGAATATGTTGGGGAAAGGTGAGTGGGTATATCTATATTGACCAAAATACAGCAAAGATTTGGTTATTATCCAGCCCATTTGCCCAGTCATTTCTCCCATAGAGACTCAATCACACCTTCAGTTTGTATAGAAAGCTATCCACCTCTCTAAATCATTACCAAGATCAAATTTGGATGTGGACAACAGTGGAGAACTGGATCAGATAATTGTGAACAAGTGAATGATCCACTTCATTTTGAAGCACTGAACACCATACCTTAGTAGATGCTCACTAAATATTTGTTGAGCAATGAAATATTCCCTCGTTTGCACATAAACCAGTAAAGAAGTTGTTTGGTTTTTTTTTAATAATGCAAGACACAGGACATCATAGACTTATCGTGTATTGGAGATGAATGCAGGACCTTTGAAATCATCTGTTTCGGTCTCCTCACTTTAGAGAGGAAGGAACTGAGGTCCAGAGAGGGGTAAGGGATTTACTCAAGGAACCATGCTACCTCATTGTTTCCATTTTATTAATAAGGAAACTTGGGGCAAAAGAGGTTAAGGGCCTTGTTTAATCTCTAATCAAACTATGAGTAAAATCTTTTTTTTTTTAAATGAATTTCTTGGTGCAGTGGAAAGGGCATGGGATTTGGAGTCAGAGGAGTCCAGTTCAAATCTTGGCCTTGCTGCTCACTGTACAACATTGGACAAGTCACTTCCCCTCTCTGGGCCTCAGTTTCCTCATCTATAAGATAAGGGGTTCAGATTTGGTGGCCTCCAAGTACCCTTTTAGCTCTAGATTTCAGTGATATACCCACTAAATAGTTGCACAAGCAGTGGATTGAGGGCTCTCAAAGGCATAGTATTATGCAAGAAGACTGGCAGACTTTGATGGAATTAGCAAGGGAGTTAAAAAAAAAAAAGAATGACCACGTGTACTTAAAATTAAACTGCAAAAATACCAGTCTTTTGATTTGTAACCGGGAGGTGGGGAAATTTCATGTCATGTGACTGTCTTATGCCCTTCTTGTGGGAAAGATGGAGAGATGGGAACAAGAAGATAATACATTTAGATGGAAGGAGACCACCAGCAGAGGTCCTCAACACTAGATCTGGAGACAAAGAATCCTGGCTCTGCATCTCTTCCTACATCTGTGACCTTGGGCACTCCTCTTTCCTTCTCTCTCCAGGCCTCAGTTTCCACCTCTGTAAAAGGAGGGTATTGAACTTGATTACCTTCTAGATCTGACATTCTGTAATCTTTCCATGTGTGTTCTCAATGAGCAGGGCCAGTTAGAGACACAATTCAAGTCATTCCCTAAATATCCAGATCTTTCTGCATGAGGGATAACTATATTTTCTCTTCCTCTTACAGGATCCAGCAGGAATATTTGAACTAGTACAAGTGGTTGGAAATGGTACCTATGGACAAGTCTATAAGGTTTGCTATCTTTTCATTCCTTTGACATTTCCTATTAAAACCATTGTTACATACAGCCTGACAATACCATGATGTAAAATTAGCCTTCCTAAGTTTTGACTCGCTTTGTTTGGGAGCAGCTTGGGGATCTCCTTGGAAAGGAAGAGGGAGGAATACTTAATGAATTGTATACTCACTCTCTCTTCCCAAGCCTGCTTGACTCCAAATTTGTTGTGGGCCAGTGTTCTCAGGATCTTATATGTACTGGCCACTGCCTCCCTCCCAACCAAGCTGTATTAATTAAAGACAATTAATGAGACTTATGAAGGACCAACACTATCAAAGGAAATGCCTGACTTGATGCAAATGTACAAACCCATCCAAAATCCTTCTTATATAATGAAGATCGAATTTGAAAAATAACCATAAACTATGCAAGTACTAAAAGGAAGGTAGAACTGGAAGCCTGTCATAGGGCACTTGGAAAGAAGAGTGAAAGAGCAAAGGAAAGCTTTTCGGGCCACTTGGAAAAGGGGTGAAGTAAGTTAGGGTAGAGGAGGAAAGTTTGGCTCAGCTCCTTTGCTCTCCTGGGTGTCTAGAAGGGAGGAGAGCTGAGAGAATAGAGCCCCCAAACTCCCAGCCCTCTTTCTTGGCTGTTACCTAGAGAAGAAAGGGAGAGCGAAGCCAAGAGGCTGCTGTTCTCATGAGCAGCCAGGAGGGGGCGAGAGAGAGCACGAGAGCTGAGTCAAGCTTTTGCTCTTCCTCTTAATTGGAGGGAAAAGGAAAGAAAAAAAAATACAACCACCTCCCAAGGACAAGAGAGACCCCAGAAAACCTGTGTCTGAAAGCCCTGTCTACAGTAGGAGGTCATATGTTCCTCCTTGTTAGGATCCAACTCTGCTCCTCAGCTCTTCCTCCACAGCTAAGGCAATATCTTATCTTCTGCATTCTTAACTGCTAGCTCTGAAGGTCAGTGGAGGTGGTTACCTTCTTCCAAGGAAGGAATTTGTCTTTAATTGGGGAGAAGGGGAATGTCTATTAAGAAACAGAAAAAGTGACAAGCCTTCTCAACAATTTTGAATCTGAGGGGGCTTGCCTTCTACTAGTAAGTAGCATCCTCAATCCACGACCTGTTGGGGTCTGGGAGACCTATTATACTGGCTATAGCTGAGTGAGGGAGGGGCAATGGTAATCTGCCCCCACTCCCATTCCAGATGACAAGAAGGTAACCATGTCAGTTGTTCCCTATGATGTTGCCAAGGATAGCTGAGCAGGCAGGCCTGTAACACTTAATCTCTCTGAAGGAGGAATCAAAGCAAGCTTGCTCAGCAGAATCAATGATAGCTGGCAATGCTCATCATTCCCAAAGGAGAGTCCTGGGATGGCTTAAAGAAGAAACTATCACAGTCCATTTCCAAAATGGAATGCAATCTTCTCTCTCCCAGCCTTCCAAACCCCTGTTTCTCTTGTTTGGTGGCTGTCTATGTATTCTTCAAAGACTCTTAAGTGAGAAGCCTTTTGTGTTGGGACCAGTATGTATGTGCTCAGGATATATTGACTCTGTACAGTAGCAGAGCTCTTTCCAAGCAGTTCTGACTATAACTTTTCAGTTCAGCAAAGATCCAGAATTATAGTCTTGCCAGTCACATGACTATTTGGACACATTGTGACTGATCACTTTGCCCACAAATCAATATTTGTAGTGTTTTGGGCCAATTGGGTGACTGCCCAAAATTGTACTGGAACTAAAACGAAACTGATTCAAGAGAAAGGCAAGTGTTATGTTACGGGGATAGTTCTGAAGAAAGGATATATTCCTTACCCCATAAATACTCCATAAAAATTAACTTATCTATCTATCTATCTATCTATCTATCTATCTATCTATCTATCTATCTAAAATGTGTGTGTATACATATATATGTCTATAGATATATTTAATATATTATTTAATGTTGGGTCCTACCCAGACAGCCATAAAAATCAGAACATCTTGATACTGGAAACAACATTAGAAGTCATCTATACTACAGTAACTCTAGGGAGGAGGGTTGTAGCGATTGCTTGTGTTTGTATATGTATATGTGTATATACACATATGTGTATATGTGCACACACACACAGGTACCTGCTCAGGTTCAAAGGTATCATCACCTCTGAAGTTTTGGAATGGAAGTTCATATCTCTGCCTCTTATTTCCTCTGGCTTCCTTTTAGACTCAGCATACATCTCATATTCTGTAGGAGTCCTTTGCCAGTTCCCGCCACCACCCTACAGCCCAGCTGCAACTGCCTTTCCCTCTGTTACTACCTGCCACACACTCTATTTTGTAAATGCTAGTTATTTACATGTCTCTGCTATTAGAATGCAAGCTCCTTGAGGGCAAGGACTGTTTCATTTTTATCTTTGTATCCTCAGGGTTTAGCACAGTACCTGCACATAGCAAGTATTTGATAAATACCTGACTCACTGAGAAAGGAGAGAAAAGCTTGGCATAATCAGAGACACACCTTAGATTTTAAGAGAGCAGATTTCAGAGGGTTCCAAGGAAGTAAAGGTAAGGCTCCTTGGACTAAAAGAAATCAGAAGTCAGCCTCAGAGGAATGGAAAATTCCCAAGGTTGAAATTATGAAGGTACAAAGAGAAACAGTTCTGATAAGAAGAAAGAGGAATTGTCTGAAGAGATTGATGTGGATGCACATGGAAGTTACCAGTCAACTTATGTGCCAAGTACTATGCTAAGAACTTTTTACAAATATCTCATTTGATCCTCACAACAACCCTGCAAGGTAGGTGCTATTATTATCTCTATTTGATAGTTGGAGAAATTCAGCCAAACAGAGGTTGTGACTTTCTCAGGGTCCCATATCTAGTAAGTGCTTGAGACTGGGTTTGAACTCCAGGCTTCCTGACTCAACCTAGTGCTGAAAGAGGCCCAGTGCTCTCTCCATTGCCCCCAGCTGCCTCCATACAGTATTACACAAAATGGTGACATAGTCTTGTAAAAATAGTATCAAGAGTTGTCAAGGTCAGAATAAGCTGACACTGGCAAGAATGACCAAGGATAGCCGAAAAGGTGTTTTTAGATTTCTGGGGTTTTTTTAAGGTGGGTAAGGAGAGAGAAAAAGATCAAAGAAAGCACAGGCCTGCTGCTCACGGTGGCTGAGATGATGATACCTGATGAGAGAGAGAAAGCAGAACTGCTTCCTTCTTCTTTTGCTTCTGTTTTCTCTGGCAAGGAGAGTGACCTTTGAACTGGAAAGGATAGAGCAAAATGATGTCTATGATAAGTGAGGAGATACTAAGAGCTCTGAGCTGCCCTTGAAGGATTCATGTCATTTGGCCCAGATGAGCTATGTTTTGGGGGTACTGAAAAAAACTGGCAGATGCAAATGCTGAGCCATCCTCAGTGATCTTAGAAAAACCATGGAAAATGGAAGAGACTCTGTGGGATTGGAGAAGGGCAAAGGTCCTAATTTTGAAAAAAAAAAAAGAAGTGAATAAAACCTTCAAACTATAGGACAGTGAGCACAACTTTGATTCCAGGCAAAATTCTGGAAAGGAGGGTTACTGGCTGTGTGACTCTGGGCTAGTCGCTCAACCCCAATTGTCTCACCAAAAAAAAAGAAAAAAAAGGAGAAAATGGTAAGCCAGGTACTTAAGTACTTGAGAAAGATTAGAGGCAAATTAGGGAGGATAAAAGCGGAGAAAGAAAACTATAAATGAGCATTAATTAACTAAGCTTGACATAAAAATATTCATTATATTAAGAAAGCAGCTACAGAATTATATTCAAAAGAAGGATGCTTTACCTTTAGGAAAACTATAAACATGATAGGCTATATTAATGATGAAAATAAGAAAAAAATCACATAATTATATCAATACATACAAAAAAGCCTTTGACAAAATAGAGCATTCATTCATGTTATAAATGCTAAAAGCATAAGATTTAACAAACCTTTTCTTAATTTGACAAGTAATTACTAAATCTAAAGCCAACAGTTAGCATTATCTGTAATGGAATAAGAAATGCTAGAAGCCTTTTTAATTTGAGCAAAAGTGAAGCAAGGATGTTCATTGATGACTATTATTTGATAATAGCTCTAGAAATTATAGTTATGACAAGGACAAGAAAAGAAATTAAGGGAATAAACATAGGTGATGAGGAGGTAAAATTATCTCTTTACTTAGAGAATCCTTAAGAGTCACCTAAAATAATTAGTAATTTAGGGAGGTAGCAGGATATAAAATAAACCCCACAAGAATAATCAGTCTACAAAACTCAGCAGGGGTAGATAGAAAAAGAAATTCCATTCAAAGTAACTACAAGGTATGTATGTATACATATACATACATACATACATACATACATACATATATATATGTGTGTGTGTATGTGGTATGTGTGTACATGTATACATGTATATGTATATATATATATATATTTATATACAGAGAGAGTGAGAGAGAAGTAAACATGATTTTTACAAAAATATAGAGATTCAGTGTTCATTGTCACATCTTTATAATAACATGATGCCACCTAAATTAATTTGTATATTTAGTGCTATATCCTTGAAACTATCAAGGAGTTACTTTATACCAATGGTTCTCAGACTTTTTGGTCTTGGTCCCCTTTTACACCCTTAAAAATTACACCCTGAAGAGTTTTTGTTTATGGAAATTGTATCTATTGAAATTTATCATTTTAGAAATTAAAACTTTTCAGTATTATTATTAAAATAATTTTGACCTTGGGGACCCTCTGAAAGGGTCTCAAAGACCCCTAAGGGTGACTGGACTACATTTTGAGAACAATTACTTCGTAGAACTAGATAATAATAACAAAATTCATTTAGAGGGAAAAAATGTCAACAGTCTCGGGGAAAATAATGGAAAAAAGTAGACATTAAATAGCATTAGCATTTTCTGATTTCAAATAAACTGTCATTGAGCCTAAAGGGCCTACTTTGTGCCAGGCTCTGTGCTAAGCTCTAGGATCACAGAAGTGAAATAGT